TTGATCAATCAATTAATATTTCCACATTTTTAGAATACCTTTCGTACATTTGATATTCATTATCTTTTCGAAGGATAAAATTAGAAAAAGTATTAAAAAAACAACGCCAGTCAAGGATTCACGATAATGCACATTTTTAGAAACGTTATATTGCATTGAAAAATGCAAAAAATGCAATCGAGGATCATCGATGATTCGATAAGGAATTTGAATTTGATGAACTACTCGTGCGAGCGAGCGCTACGATTTCCCGCCTTTATTAACGGCGCGGGCTCCGACCATCCGAATCCGAATAATCTGTGGAAACGATCTTCGTGACAGCCTATAGATCGTATCTTGGCCGGTGTGCACGTGTGCCGCCACCTACGTGAACACTTACATCCCTAATTATACGGAGGAGGCGCGCAGAATCCGGGCTTAAAAGCTTTATATATATAGAGTCGGTTGATATATCGCGGGAACGTTTAGTAGCAACCGCGTTTACAAACATTGGTCGAAACCGAGGCCGAAGATAATCGTACTACATTTAGCTTGGTTTCAGAGTGGGATAGACGTTATATACCTTCTACCAGAAGTGGAAAGATATTTTCTACTATTGTTTCGAGATAGGCATACGTACACTTTTGTAAAATTGATGAAATTTTTTTTACGCGAGCCTGATTTCATACAATTCGTTCAAAAATATGATAGAAACGCGTTACGTTTATTCTCTGAATGCTTTCCTCGTTAATGGCGGACGCGTTCATATTTTGGCATTCGTACAAGACTCGTACGTAACATTGAAACAAACAATCTTGAATAATTAATTTATTTGAAATTTATTCGATTTTCTCTCTCGTATAAGGGCAAATCGTTTGAAGCCACGTATTCCCTAATCACCAAGGCGTCGAAACGGAGGTGCAACGTGATAACTTCTCGTGCACAAGGATTATAATCGTAAGGGAAGACGATATCGCGAGTATTCGGTTGGCCATTGAGCTACCTCGTCCCATGACACGTATCGGACAGACGAGAGAGAAAGAGAAAGGGGTAGGGTTGGATTTCGAAACTTGGATGGAAACTTGGAGGAAAACTGCTCCTGCGGGACGCGTGAGTCGGGCTAATACAGTGGAAGGAACGTGTCACAAACGGGACTCGTGACAAGGAGGAAATCTCGAAACGCGCCATTGTACTTGTTAATTTGGGGGTAAACAAGCGCGGTAAATTTTCGCGAGAGAGGATATCCTCTTCTATTCCCGACGACACGAGACGACGACGGAGTTGTGTCGCGCAGAAATTTCCAGATCTTATCAAGGGGTCCCTCCACCTCGTCCGGGAATTCATTTCGGCTGATGGCACGACGGTCGAAAGCGTCCGTGATTTTTTAGTTTCATCCGAGCCAATGTGCCTTATATCTTTTTTTTTCGACTCTTTCATTCCCGAAATGGAATCGGTGAAAAATTTTTTTCACGATGAAAATTCGATGAATCCGGATGATTAAAAGTTATAATATGGAAAATATACGTGAAATTTTCAATTTCTAATTTGAAATTAATCGAATAAATCTTATCGTTTATTATATATCGAAAATTCAAAATTTGGGAAATTTTCTTTTCTCGATGACCTATGGATAATCGTTCGATAGATCTATTCCATGTAGTCGCGTCACATTTGTACTATTCATTGTTGAAGAAAGAAGAATCTTCCCTAATATCGTCTATCTCTACTTCAAACGTTTTGTTGACAATCCTGATACGTTACATAGTAGTAAAAGAGGTATAATTTGAATATTTAAAATCGATAATCATCTAAGACTGAAATATTTTCGAAACTATTAATATATTAATAATATATTTAGTTTATTCGTATACCTACAATTATTATCTCAACTACTCGAATACGAAATTACATTTATAAATTATACATATGAGAAATAACAAAATTTTTAGAATACTCTGAATTCTATGCCCACGCTAATGCATCGTTAAGATATAGATCGTCGTTAAATTGCTATATCGTGACGAATACCACGATAGAAAGAAAACGTACGTGTGAAAATAGGCGTTCCCTTTCAAATTAACCAATCAGACTTGTGTTTCTTTCGCGAGACTTCTTTCCACCAATGAACAGTACTTTCGATCACCAAGGACAACTATTTTATCCTTCGTCATCTAACCTAGCCTCGAAGTTTCTGCGCAAAAACATATTCTCTTTTCACGAAAACATCTCGTTGCAATATGATATTCTTTTCTATGTAAAAACGATCGATAAACTGAAAAAAGAAAAACAAATTCAACAATACAAGATATATTATTATGAATATATAAAACAATGAAAAATTATTCGTCATCGTTATCTTTTTCATATGTGTTGTGTTGTCGAAAAGAATTCGCATTCGCACAGATCGCCGCGCTGGTCAGATGGTAAATGTGAAAGAATATAACGCACAATCGTGAAGAGACAGAGGAATCAATAAACGAAGTTGTGATGAATAATAGTGAGACACGCGAGAATGTTTTTACCAGTTGCTTATCTATTAAACGTTCGAAAGGAGAGGGAAGAGAAATGAAGTTCCCTGTATAAGGCGTGACAGGGAACATAAGGCGCAATAAAACTCGACTAATTTATAACAGGCTCGAGAAAGGTTTTCTGGACGTTGGCTCGCTCGCTCGTTCGCTCGTCTCTGTTACAATGCGGGACCTGGCTTAGACGGATTCCTTCGCCTTTGACCACTTATAAAGAGATACACCTGATCAAAAGGAGCAAGTTCCATCAGGAATTAATTCGATTCTTTTGACGTGCTCTACACGTTTCGACATCGTTTCGATCTCGTAATTGTACGATACGATATGATGGAGGATGAATTATCCAGATTGAAAGAATATTCTTCGAATAAGATTCGTTTCAAAATTAAAATAAAAAGGTTTTTTTTAATTTTTGATAAATTTATATTTATTGTATAACTATATATCGATAATTTACAATAAGTTATAATCGTGTAATTATTTATTTTCTAGCTGCTGAAAATCACAGACAGTTTACGCCCCATATAATTAGCGATAATAAAATGAGACAATGGTTTCAGTCTTTGTTAAGAACGGACAAATATTTATTGATGAAAAACGAGAAGCAGATCTGACAGATGATCTAACGAAGATAATCAGTGCGAAAATTTGACAGATTTCTTTTATGGAATAAAAATATTAAATATAAAATATTTTCTAAATTAAAATAATTTCGAAAATATTCCATTCTCAAATCTTAGATGATTCACTGTATTCCATCGAAATGATTCAGGGAACACAGAGAGAGAGAGAGAAAGAGAAAGAGAGAGAAGAAAAAAAATGAATACTATTTGATTTGTAATACCTACGAAGCCGGTATTTATCACGCGTCCCAAGTGCACGCGTACTTTCAAAGTGGTGAAAAATTCGGTGATGAAACAGGTAATTTGAAACGTTAGTTTTTGAAAAATTCCCTTCGAATATTCGTCGCCACTACGATTCGACATCAACTTCATTCTCGACCCGTTACTTGTTTCCCGAGAGTAACGCGAGAAGCGGTCCCCAAAGTCCGTGTCCACGATTCAACCACGATCATCCCAAACATGTTTCCCTCCCTTTCCAAAAGGAAGTGATACGCGTTCTCTCTCTATTTCTCGAAAGAGAGAGAGAGGAGAAGGGAAGAGGATACTCGAGAAAATGATACAAGGTTGGATGCCTGAATGTCGGAGGAGAGTAAATTTGATGTGGCGTAATGGCGGTCGGACAGAGACGCGCGGTTCTTGGATGCGGCGATGTGCCGATGCGTTCATCGAGAAAGTATCTATTACGTGATTGTTCGCAAAATCGTAAGGGATACGGGAGGGGATTTAATTTCCTTTTTTTTTTTTTCTTCTTTTTTTTCTAAACTCTTTTTTCGAGTTACTTGATAAAGATAGAAGTGATATATAAAGGGAGTATATAACTTCACATTTTTATATGATGGCATGATGATCTGAATAACGTGTTGTATATATATATTTTTATAGCTGTTCGAGTGACTCACAAATTATACATACAAACGTAAATATAAATTTATAATATTAAATTGATAAAAGAGAAAATAATTTATTTATTTATTTTTATTGTCAATATCCATAAAAAAAAGAATAACAAATAAAGAAATCTCTTTTTCTCTCTTTTTCTCTCTGGCGAGAAAGCAAGTTATTCGATTCAACAGTGGCTCGCATTTTCGTGTGGTGTGAATCTAAATAAACGAATAATATGTTGCATTTATATATTTATACCAGTTCGATTTACAAACGTAAATACATATAGATTTATAATATTGAATATTAACAAAAGAGAAAGCAATCCTTATTTACCTTCAATAATACCATTAAAATTTAATTAATTAAAGTTACTTAGAATAAAATTATACTTCGACAAATTTATCAAAATTCGAAACAATAATAATAATAATTGCAAATCGATTATAGCTAAAACGAAATATTATTCCAGCACTTTAATAACTAATTGATTTAAAACTTTATTCGAAATTTTTAGTTAACTTTTTTTAATTCTGCCTTCAATATTCATCGAGTAGCGCGAAAAAAAATACAAGAAAACAAACGAAACATTTCTCTCTCTTTCTCTCTCTCTCTCTCTCTCTCTCTCTCTCTCTCTCTCTCTCTCTCTTTCTCTCTCTCTCTCTGGCGGGAAAGCACAGGAACCCGATTCACCAAGTTATCCGATTCAGAACCCGACCAAAGAGCATCTCGTCCATGTTCTGGATTCGAGAATACGTTTGCAGGCGTCGCACAATAAGAAAGCCGGCTGGTAGACGATTTTTCCGCTTTTGCTTTGATCGGAAAGGAGAAAGAAAGAAAGAAAAAAAAAGAAAAGAGAAAAAGAGGAGCACCACCACCATTGACTGACCGAAGAGGCCGTTGTGTCTCGCGGGGGAGAAAAGCAGTCTCGTGGTGGCCGGCCGGGGAGTCTGCGTGCTGGAACGACGACGAGAACGACGACGACGACGACGACGACGACACGCTCGGTCAGGGAAAACCGAGTGTGGCGAGGGCCGAGTGGAAGAGGATAGAGCCCTCATGGTGGGGGTAGATCACAGGGAGAGGATGGTGGAAGCGAAATCTGGCCTCAGTCGTGCGCGACGCGCCATATGCGGTGGACCATTTGTCAACCCGCTCACAAAGGCCAATAATCTCCCGTGACACGTGTGATTCCATCCCTCCCTCTCCCCCCTCCGATAAAAAGTGTCACGTGCTGGCCTCGGCCACCCCTCCCTCCGCCAAGCTCGCCCACCATACCCCTCTATACCCCGCCGAAACTTCACGGAAAAACTTTTTCCCTCGGAGAAAGAGAGCCGCTCAGCGCAATTTCGTTTCGAGTGGCGGACAGTGGAGAACAGTGTGTGTGTGTGTATGCGCGCCCGTTTGCTTGCTTGCTTGCCTACTTTTTTCTTCCTTCCTTCCTTCCTTCCTTCCTTTCTCTTTCTTTCTCTCTCCAAACTAATCTTTTTTTCCCTGTCGAAACGAGAGAAACGAGTGGTAAAGGAGAAATAGAAACCACGCTGTGGACTACGTAAGACGAGACGCTCTTCTCTTCCCGAAAAGAGAAAAGTTTGTGGATGCTGTAATATATCGATGTAAAAGATTAACAAGACGTATCGATAAGAAAGTAGAAGATTTACACATCCGTTATAATTGGACCTTGTTTCGCGATGAAATCGGTGCGACAGGCTGGTGTTTGATGCAAATCATCGCTTTTACCGAAGCGCGATGGACAATCAACGAGGATCTCGTTAAGGCGATCGCATCGGGGAAATTGATGGTGACGGACGATCAGGCGAGGTAAGAAGCCGCGAAAACGTGCGCCTCTTAATTTTTATACTCGCGAGATGAAGTTTTTATCGCGGTGGTGGTTATCGAGGCGGGCCGAGAAATTTATTCAAATTGAGTCGGGTCGAATTTTTTTTTTCTTCTTTTTTCGCGCTCGACAGGTGGTGATGCAATCTCGACGCATCGAACGAAGACATAGCTCAGCATCGATCACTTATTATTACTCGACTATTATCTCTCGTATTAAGGGAACACGTGTCCGGGACTCGGAATATCGGACTTCGGCCCGACAAGTAGATTATCCGGAATCAAGGTCGGCTCGACGATCGAGACTATTTATCGTCACGAGATTTAAATTTGCAGGACCAATTTATTTCTTTTCTCGCTTTCCTTTCTTTCTTTCTTTTTTTTATTCTCTTCGATACCTTTTAACCCCGTTAATAATAATGATTGACGAATAATAATCATACGGATCAACATGTTATCCAATGTATCACGAAATTATGATATTTTAGAGAAAAAGATTGTTAAAAACGATTCTTAAACTCTCGTTTCGAGAATTCTATCCGATTCAATTAGACAATTTTGTTTATTCTCGAATTGTTTAATGTCTTGCGATATTGCAACGATCGAAAATATTATACGAGCGACGAGAATCTTTTCCAATGTGCTCGATAACTACAAAAAGTTTGGAATTGTGTCGTTGTTGGGGAGAGGGGAACGAAAGGAAAAACGACACGCGTGTTTCCCCACGAGGGAAGCGTCTCGTTTCGCATAAAAGAGTAACGGAGGCGGAAAGATTTTCCCGGCTTTCGTGAAAAACTTTTGACGCTGTGTCTATTGTGCTGTCTAGGTATTAGCCTTCTCTCTCTCTCTCTCTCTCTCTCTCTCTCTCTCTCTCTCTCTACCTCTACCTCTACCTCTACCTCTACCTCTCTCTCTCTCTCTACCTCTCTCGACAATGCACAGCCTATTTAACCTAACGTTTACTCGGTGTGTATACATATAGCTAGGGATTGCGAAGGGAAATATAGAAAAGTGCGTTCCCAGAAATTCGCACACCTGTTGGCGGTGTTGAGCGGCAACAAGAAAGGGGCGATTCTTCGTGGAACATCTTGCGCCAACTACCACGTTTCGCGTATCGGGATAAACGATGGATGGAGCGAAAGAGGAAAGAGGACGATTTTGCAAGGTCGATTTTTATCGTATCCGATACGATAAATCCGGAAGAATCATTTATTTTTCAAACGTCCGTTTGATGTTGGCGCGTAGCAGTTGCGCTGGCAAGTAAAAGTTTATTTAATTTACGTTTCATAATTTTGCATCTACGTGGTATACACAGTCCTAGAAATACCCGAGCTGCACTGTGTTTCATATTTAGTAGCTTTTAACGTATGATTATTTTAAAAACGATAAATATAGATAAGGTCAGAAATTGAGGTATAATTTTGTATATACGTACATAGCACATGATCCAATTATTTAAAAATGAATGGGTTAATCGAATCTGTTGTTCTAGTTTCAAGAGAGTATAATTTTTGTTAAATTTAAATAAAAAATTAGTATTAATAATAATTTCAGTAGCTTTCAAGATATGATTTTTTTTAAAATAAATATAGGTAAGGTGAGAAATTGAGGTATAATTTTGTATAATATATATAGTATGATTCAATTATTCAAAAATGAATGGATTAATTGAATCATTATTTTTAAAAGGATAATTTTTGTTAAATTACATTACACTACTCTAAAAATATCTGAGCTAGTTATTTTGATTATTTTAAAACGATAAATATAGGTAAGGTCAGAAATTGACGTATAAAATATATCATGGTCCAATTATTTATTTAACAATTGAATGGGTTAATTGAATCATTGTTACAATGATTTAAAAAAAACGGTACAATTTTTTAAATTACATTAACTTTAGTAGCTTTCAGCATATGATTTTTTTAAACGATAAATATAGATAGGATCCGAAATTGAGACATACATTTCTATATAAAATATATCACACACTATATACATAGTCCAATTTAGCAATGAATGAGTTTAATCGAATCATCGTTACAAAAAGAGTTTCAAAAAGAACGATATAATTTTTATTGTAAATTGTCGATTTAAATAAAAAAAATCACACCGTCCTGTAAAAGTATTCAAACTGTTCGGTATTTACCATTTTCAACTTATGATTTTTCAAACGATAAAGTTAATCGAATCATCGTTACGCTTTTTTGCATATCTATTTAAAAAAAAAAAAAGAACATTACCAATTCGATCCCTCTCAAAATTACTTCCTTTACTTCTTAAAACAACTCGAGGTACGCGTTTATTCAGATAAAAAAAATCATCTACCTGAGAATGGAGTAAAGAAGTAAAAGTAGAAGGGAACGAGAAACTAGGGGAGAAAGTCTGGCAGCGATATTAGATTATTTTGCCACGTGAGAATGATCTGTGGATTCACTATACGAAAGCAAGATATTTCGCGTTACGCGTTTTATATATATATTTATCGTAGCTCTTCGTTCGTACGATACATTATCGTACCGCCTCTCGCATTAAGGCGGGGAATAATTAATACAGGCCGTGTACGATTCACAGATTACAGCTGTGCGCCCGTTAATATTTAGAGGAGAGAACGAATTGAATCCCGATATTCGGCCGTGTGTCTCATTAAACGAGCTTCGAAGGCAATTAAACATGACTAACATATTTGTAACGGTCGATGAATGGGCAGAAAGCCCCATGGGCCGTGACTACGCGACTCTCCGACCGAGGGTAAACATTCGTATATGCACGCAGTTTAAACCGTTCATACGTTAGTTATCGCGCGGCCGCCGTCGCTGCCGCCGTCCAAACTGTACACGTGTGCGCATACGCGGTATAAACGGGAAAATATTACCGAGCGTTCGAGCGTTAAACGATAAAAATATATCCGTTAAATTCGAATATACGGAAGATGGTATCGCGATTACCGATTAAGTAAACCGAAATTTCATTTCGAATCGTACGAAATTGTTATTTACTCGTTTCATCGAACTGTATCAATAATTACACGAGAATCGTATCGTGAAATAATTTTCACGTTTCATCGCGCTCCCATCGCCCTTTCATCGTCTTAATTACCCCGTTTTATTCGTCTCTTAGATAAAGTTATCCAATCTTTCAAATGCATTTCGCGTATCTTACGACAATTATAACATCGTAACGTAACTTCGAAACTTGAATTTAATCACTCGAATCAACGTTACGTTGATTCGTCAAAATTGCATTATGATAAATTGATTATGCCAATACTTATAATAGGGACGAATTTTTCATCTTTCGTTTGAAAATTTTCCATTTCTTCATCATCGATGCACTAACCCAAGTATTTTTATCGTTTATAAAAATATATCAGACAACGAACTGTTCGAATATTTCGGTATTGAAATCGATAAATCGCGTTTTTTTTCTTTTTCGTGTATCGGTTCCGACCGAAACGGGCTCAATGGCCTAGAAAACAGCCCCGGTGCCAGTGGCTCTCTTTTAACCGGGGTTAACGATCTGAAGGGAGTTTCGGCCACCGCCGTTCTCGGACAACCGCCCCGGAAACTCGACGCGTCGCGTCGCGCGCGCGTTGAAATTGTAAATGGCCCCGTGAGACGGCTCGCGAGACTTGAAGCACCGGCTGGTGCACTACTGGTCGAGGGAAAAGTTGCGAGTGGCGGACGGGAGAAGAGAATGATTGAGAATTGTGATTAATATAAAATCCAATTATTAATTGGTGATTATTAAATAATCATTGATCAATCCTCTACTGCATGAATTTTTATGACGAGAAAAAAAATATACATGACTCTATTAATCTACTTAAAAATGAGCAATGGTCGTGAAATAAATAATAACAGCGTTCTAACAACGTTCTTATTTTTTAAAATATTGACGGATGCATCCCTGTATGTATTTTGCACCCATCACATCTTTGAAATTTAAATTTCCTCAATTATGGGAACGAAATGCAATGGTTAATAAATAAGAAAGTTGTGATCAATGTTCGCGATTACTTTATTAATTATTAATCACGAAATGATTACATTTTTGATTGTGATTCAATCTGTATTGTAATAATACTGTGAATATTTTTTTTTTTAGAAATATATATATATATTTTAGATAGTTTTTTACATAGAAAACTCTTAGGGCTAAATTACTTATTTATTTTTAGTGTATTAATTTGCTTTTAATACAACAGGTATTTCAAACATTTTATTCAATAATTTATGCGTTTTTAGTACGTTTATCATTGCACCCTATAAGCATAAATGACAATGGTGTATCATATATAAAATAAAAATTCTATTTTTATTAAATTTAATTATTAAATTATTAATTATTAAATTAAATTAATATTTAGTCTTAAAATACTTAAATTTCATTGTTGTTCACGCATATATGTAATATTTCTTATTTTGTTTTGGATAATAGATAAATTTCTGATTTGAAGTATCACGATAATCGTTAATGATCATTGAACAATTATAAATTACAGAAGCTAATCACGATTACCGATTCATTTCAACGATAATCGATTACACGATTACAGTTACTCAAATGATCAAATTATATATTACATCAAATGATCAAACAGAAATTGCAAAAAAGAATTAATTACCGCCCGACTCTGGCAAAAATCCCTCATCCCCCTTTTCCAAATTTCGCGGACGAGGGTATTTTCGAGGAAGATACTTTCAGGACGATGAAACTAATAACCAAACCTGCTTCAATTATGAACGAATATTTGAAAATTATTGTCACAGAGATTTTGGGGAATCGAAATAATTGTTCGTAATCGAACTGTTGTTACGAAGAATTGAAATGGATCGCGTTGAAAATTGTCTTGGAGGATTCCTTCGATGTGGGGAAGGATAAATCGAATAGTTATTAAACAAAATTCTTTCGTTTCATTTTTTTTCCACGTAAGGAGATACCCGCGTCACGCCCACTTGTGCGCACATAACTTTCGACCGGCG